CCAGGACGTGCGGAGCCGGCTATGACCCCTTCAGGCCCTGCCTTCCCTCCCTCCTGTTTTCTCTGCTCTACAGATACGTCTCTGGGCTCAGACGGATGCTGCAGCCAGACCGAGACGTCGGGCAGCCCCGAAAAGTTGTTCGAGTGTGGCAGAGAGAGCCTGGAGCAGAAGCATCTGCACATGTGCCCCATTTGCCCAGGGCAAGGCTGGGAAGGGGCACGGAGAAAGCATTACCTGAAGAGACCTGAATCCTCCCTGTTAGCAAGCGCCCGCATAGAGAGGGAGAGGGGAAAGAGAGAGACAGGAGTTACCCGCCACCGTGTTGAGACACGACCCGGAAGCAGGTGGTGGGTGGAGGACAGACGGGGAGGGAGTAGGAGCGCAAGCCTGGGGCCACAGGGCCGCTAAACGGAGGTGGGAAGCGGCCAGTCAAGCTCCAAGCCGGATGCCGGCACGTGGAGCGATGCAGCAGCCATCAGCTGGGCAAGCAGGAGGCCAGGGAGCCCTTCATCTCGTGCCCACGTCCCAAATCCACCAGTGCCATGGGGCACAGGGAGCTGCCCGCTCAGCCAGGGGCACTTTGAAGCCTTGATTGCCCCTTTGGAGGTCCCTGCCGAGCTGGAGGGAGGCAGACACGCCAAGGGAGGCAGGATTACGCTAGATCTGTCTCTGGCAGCCCCTCTAGCACAGAAGGGCTGATGGAGGCTGAGCCTTCACTCATGCTCCCAGAGGGCATATGGAGCAGGACAGTTAGCAAAAGCACTAGGACCCAAAGAGCCACATCCAGCCAAAGCACCAGAGCCCAGCCTCCTCCTGGGGCTTCCAACATCCACAGCCCAAAGGGGCCGTCGGGTCCCAGCTCCACCACAGCTCCAGCCTAAGAGACCCACTGGCTGCTTCCAGCCCACCTGCACTGCCCTGCTGCAGAGGGAAGCCAAGGCCAAAAGCTTTCGTCACCTGCAGGCTGCCATTTTAGCTAGGCTAGGCCAGCGACAGCAGCACTGAGCCACCTCAGGGGACAGCTACGGTCTTGGAAGGTCCCCTCTCAAGACAGGGGGCACAGGCAGAAGCAGTGGCCCGGACCAGGGGTTAGCACAGACACAGCCACATGCTCCAGGCTTCATGCAAGAGTGACCCCGAGGAACTCAGAGACACTGCAGCGAAACTCCCCCGGCAGGCCAAGCCGAGCGGGCATCCCCCCCTGCCACCCTCCCCCAGCCCGCAAAACCAGACTGGGAGGTCCCAGCTCCCCACGTGCCCCGGGACCCCCTTGCCCAAGGTAGGTGTTTCTGTGCAGTGTCAGAACAGGGTGCTGCTCTGGGTGCTCAGCATGCAGGGTGCAGGGGCTGGTTAGTACCTGCTGGTGAATAGCACGAGGCCCTGCTGGAAACTGAGAGAGGAAGAGAGCAAGGTTTGGGGAGGGGGAGGAAGGAAAGAAGAGCAGTCACTTAGTGGGCACCCCAGCTGGGGACACATGCCCCCACCCCACGGCCAAGAAGAAGGGACAAGACCCCAGGGAAGCGGGGGGGGCACACGCAAGCAGTGCCAGCAACAACCTTGATTTCGGGCACAGTCCCCCCTTGCACACCCACGCAGGTCCTGCAGGGCACGACAGGGCTCCTTGCTCCCCCGTGTACTGACGCAGCCACGGGAGAGGAGCGTGGACTATTTGGCCAGGCGGCTACGGGGGCCAGACAAGCTCCTAGAGTCCCCCATCCCCTCTTTCCCGGGGCAACCCCCTTACCTGTCGCGGCTGAGAAGGCGTATTCATTTGTGAGGTCGGTGCCGGGTTAAAAACCACAGGTGCCGTCTGACCAGGTGGAAATGTCGACTGGAGGGAGGCAGGGAGGGAACGCGTTGGCCAGGCCAGGGCAACATCGCTCCCCGCAGCCCCCTCCCCGGGACCCCATCCCGAATTGGGGAGCGCCTCCACCCCAAGCCCACTGGAGGGGCTGTTACCTGTGGAAGTCCAGGAGAAGGGGCAGGGTGCGGGGCTGTCGGGGCTCCTCCTGTGGGCTGTGGAGCTTTGTTCATTTCATGTGGTTGTGCATAAGGATCCCCTCGCTATCTGTGGGCACATGGACAGCGGGCGTAAGCCAGAGGCATATGGCAATGCTGCCTCGGTGACCCCCCAGCATCCTGCGCAGGAGCCCTGGCCCACAGATCTGTCACCTCTCCAAGTCAGCCTCTAAAATGGGGCCTCCTAGCTCCCTCAACCCACCCAGGGCAGAGCCAGACACATCCGCTGTCCCCCACAGACTGCCCCCAGCCATGGCATGGACACCCAGGAACCTCCTCCTGTCCCCGCTGGGGCGCACGGGCCAGAAGAGGCAAGGGCATGGTCCATGCAACTGACCCATCTGCCTGCTCTCTGTCTGCTTCAAGCTGTCCCCTGAGGAGGTGCTCCAGGGACCCAG